GCCAACACAGTATTAAAGGAGAACAAAGGCAGAGTACTGATACTACACAACTTCACGATTTACTAAAAGCTACAGTAATCAAGACAGTGTGGTATTGGAACAAATAAATAGATCAATGGAACAGAATAGGGCTCAGAAATACACCACATAAGTATAGTCAACTGATTTTTAACAAAGGAGCAAATGCAATTCAATGGAAAAAGCAGTCTTTCCCAAAAGTGGTGCTGGAACAACTGGACATCCATGGACAAAAAAAAACAAAACAAAAAAGTATCGAGAAACAGACCCTATACACTTTACAAAAATTAACTCAAAATTGATCACAGACCTAAATGCTAAACTCAAAATTATAAAACACCTAGAAGATACTACAGGAGAAAATCCAGAAGGCCTTGGGTTTGGCAAGAACTTTTTAGATAGAACACCAAAGGCATGATGTTAAAAAGAGAATAAATTAAAAATTTTATTCTGTGAAAGACACTGTCAAGAAAATGAGAAGATAAGCCACAGATCGGGAGAAATTATTTCCAAAAGACAAACACATGAAGGACTGTTAACCGAAATACACAAAGAACTCTTAAAACTCAACAGTAAGAAAACAACCCAATTAAAAAATGAGCAAAATATCTGAACACACACCTCACCAAAAAAGATATGCCGATGGCAAATAAGCATATGAAAAGACGCTCCACATCATGTGCTTTAGGGAACTGCAAATCAAAACACTGAGATACCATCACACAACTATTGGGTTCCATTTTTGCAATGAAAAACATAGAAAAAATACATCATGACTTTTCTGACAACCCAATATTACGATAGCTAAAATTCAAAACACTGACACCACCAAGTGCTTTTGCGGATGTGGAGCAACAGGAACTCATTCATTTCTGAAGGGAATGCAAAATGGTACAGCCACTTTGTTAGACAATTTGGCAGTTTCTTATAAAACTAAACACACTCTTACCACATGATCTAGCAATCTCATTCCTTAATATTCAGTCAAATGAAGTGAAATCCTATGTCCACAAAAACACCTGCACACAGATGTTTACAGCAGCTTTACTTGTAATTGCCAAAATTTGGAAGCAACCAAGATGTCCTTCAATAGATGTATACCCTATATAAACAAACTGTGGTACATCCATACAATATGTTATTATTCAGTACTAAAAAGAAACAAGTTATTAAGCTATGAGAAAAGACACAGGGGAACCTTAAATGCATATTGCTATGTGAAAGAAGCCAGTCTGAGAAGGCTATGTACTGTATGACTCCAACTATATGACATTCTGCCAAAAGCAAAACCATGGAGACAGTGTAAAGATCAGTGGTTGCTAGGAGTCTGGGGGAGTAAGGGATAAATAGGTAGAACATAGGAAAGGGGGTTTTTTGGGCAGTAAACTATTCTGTATGATATATAAGGTGGATGGATACATGTCATAATATAAATCCACAGAAAGTGCAACAGCAAGAGTGAACCCTAATGTAAATTATGAATTTTGGGTGATAATAATGTGCCAATATTGGTTCATCGATTGTAACAAACGCGCCACTCTTGGGGGTGGGGGGGGGGTGTTGATGGTTGGGGAGTTCTGCTTACATGAAAGGAAGGAGTATGTGGAAACTGTACTTTCAGCTCAATTTTGCCATGAACCCAAAACTACTTTATAACAAAGTCTATTAAAATAATAAAAAAACCCAACACGTACTAGAAAAATAAACTGAACACCAAAATATATTTTAAGAAAATGATTAGACTTTAAGGATAAAGAAAGATATTCTTTGAGTATCCAAATAAAAAGACCAAGTCATTTATAAGAAAAAGGAAATAAGATTGTCATCAGACTTCCTGACCATTATGCTGTATGCCAGAATACAATGGAGTTACAGACATTCAAGGAAATGTAAGCAACAAATTCATATTCAGCCAAAATGACCTTAAGAATAAAGTCTTCAGACAAACTGTTATGAATATGCAAAATCCCTGGTCATGCTGTTCACATGAGTCCTTCCTAAGGAATTTATTATAAAAAGAGCTTAAGACAATCAAAATGACAGAAGAGACACTGATGTACCATATTTCCCCCATGTATAAGACGCCCCCATGTATAAGACACACCTTAATTTTGGGGCCCGAAATTTGAAAAAAAAAGTATTACATAAAGTTATTGAACTCAAGTTTTATTCATCATAAAATTCATACAACTCCTCATCACTGTCAAAACTCCCAACCATTAGCTTGTCCTCATCTGTGTCTGACGAATCACTGTCTTCATAAATTGCTTCGTCCTCAGTTCCATCTATGGCATTTGAAATGCTACACTTCTTAAATGACTTGACAAAGATCTACAACCAGGGCCGGACGAGTGGCGCGGTGGTTAAGAACTGGCTTGGGACGCCAGAGGGCCCCGGTTTGGATCCCACATGAGGGCCAGTGACACTGCCCTCTACAGCTAAGATGCTGAACAACAGCTCAACCTGGAGCTGGGCTGCGGTGAGTTGCCGGCCACGGCGTAGGCTGCAGCCCCTGTGGCAGTGGATTGCCATGGGCTACCGTGTGTAGCCAGCAGCCACCATGAGCGGCCGTCCAGAAGCCGGCGACTGATCTGCCTCGCCCGGGAAGAGCGCAATGATGGTGCCAACTTGGGCCAGTGAAGCAACGTCCTCTACAACTAGATTGAAGAACAAAAGGACAGCATCTTGTCTGTTCCCCTTCCCCAATTCCCCAGCGCTGTTCCCATCCCCCCAATTCCCCAATAAAAATCTTTAAAAAAAAAAAGATCTACAACCACTGTATAAGACACATTCAGTTTTTAGACCCCAAATTTTTCGGAAAAAAGGTGCATCTTATACATGGGGAAATACGGTAAGGATGGGAAGACTAAAGAACATTGCCATTCCTTTATGTTTGTCCTTTAATCCACAAAACAATCCTTGATAATTCTATTTCCATTCTACACATGGAGAAACTGAATGGCAAAGTCAAAGGAACTTGCCCATGGTTTCCGGGCAAGTGATGGAACCAGAATTGGAACCAAAGCCCATTCCCTGTCCACAACGTGTAGCTAAGCCCACATACACATTAAATACTCTTTGTGTCTTTGCATATATGGAACTGCATATTGCCTGAAATTTCATTCTCTCCCTTACCACCCCTATGAGCTCTTTTATCTTTGGCCTAGCTCAAAATCACTTGCTCTCTGTGGCTTTCGCTGACCCCAAAGGACCACATTATCCTTAATGAAACTGTATAGTATTGACAACATAAAGCCTCCTCAACTGTGGCTCCATGGCATGTCACACACAGCACTTCTAACACAGACTCTGACACATGTGATAGCCTTGATGGTAAGAACTGTGATTTTTTTTTTGTCTTAAAATCCCAGCACAGAGCATATTCATCTAAGTAAATGTATTTAGGAAAAATATTAAGAGGGCAGATGACAACTCTGGGAAGACTTTACCTATCTAAAATAAAGTTAACTACCTAAACATCTCTGCAGTACCTTGTAGCTTTGTGCATAATTTTATTCTTTCCCTCTTCATGCAATATTATCACTTATTTGTTTTCATTTGTCTGTCCTCTGAGAGCAAGGACAATCTTTAACTTTTTGTTGCTTTACCACCTAACACGTAACAGTACACACACAGCTACTAAGTGTTCGATAAATAGCTGGCAAACAATTATTATACAAAAAAAAGATAAATCATACAATAAATTACTTCTCAGTTCCAATTTTAATACAGAGAAGGAAAGCCCTGCTTTCACACTGCCTAAGTAATGCCATACACCAAATAACATATTTAAGCAATAAAAAATTTACATAAGAGAAATCAGAATCTGATGTTTTTAAAGTCATAGTTCTAATGGGAACAAGTATATGCAGGACCTTTAGACTACAAAATACACACATATCTGTGCCTAGACACAACATAAAAAAATACTATATTCAACTTCCTCTTCATTTGAATAAGCTGTTAAATCTGAAAACATTTGCTTTATACATGCACTTTTTAATGCATAGCTATAATACCAAGAGCCACAACACTCATGGGTCATAAATGTTTTCTTCACAATAACTGGTCCTCCGCAATCCTACGTTAATGTCTGTCGTACTTACTAAAGTTATCTTTTAGTCTTTTAGTCAATCTAATTACTGAATTTACATTAAAACATATACCATTCACCTCAATGTAATGCTCCTATATCTTTATTCATGTAAAACATCATTCTGCCTATTTTACTTTTCCAGCTCTCTCATACACATTTCCTTTTATTTTTATTTTTTATTATTATTATTTTTTGAAGGTGGTAGTTTTGGGTTTTTTTTTAAAGATTTTTTTTTATTGGGGAATTGGGGGGATGGGAACAGTGTTGGGGAATCGGGGAAGGGGAACAGACAAGTTGCTGTCATTTTGTTCTTCAGTCTAGTTGTGGAGGACATTGCTTCACTGGCCCAAGTTGGCACCATCATTGCGCTCTTCCCGGGCGAGGCAGATCAGTCGCCGGCTTCTGGACGGCCGCTCACTGCGGCTGCTGGCCGCTCACGCTGGCTGCTGGCTATACACGGTAGCCCATGGCAACCCACTGCAGCAGAAGCTGCAGCCTACGCTGTCGCCGGCGACTCACGGCAGCCCAGCTCCAGGTTGAGCTGTTGTTCAGCATCTTAGCTGTAGAGGGCAGTGTCACTGGCCCTCATATGTGGGATCCGAACCTGGGCCCTCTGGCGTCCCAAGCCAGCTCTTAACCATGGCGCCACTCGGCCGGCCCTCCTTTTTTTATATTTCCCATCCAGGTTATATCAGATCAAAACTGAAGAATACCATTTGAAACAGGTACCCAGAAAATAAAATCAATCTCCATCTAACTGGAAAATTATTTTAACAAAAATTAATCTGTTACAAATAATTCATTTAAGACAGACACATCTTAAAAGTCCAATTTCATTTTTAATATTACTTCTAGTATAGGGGGGAAAAGTATAGTTTCTGCTTACCACTTCTAATGGTTGTGTTTTCCAACAGTTCTGTCTGAAGTTGTAGCTCAGCTTCTCCAAGTATCTTTAGAACAGAATCTGTAGGGCTTTTTCCCCAAACTCTTCTTGGAGATCCTCCAGGATCTAATTTAATAACCTCCCCCACTGTATGTTCTATAAGATATAAAAAATAATTTTCAATGACATAACAATAATATTGCATTATAAAGCAGATTTAAGGTATTTTATCCAATTGAATGCTTCATGAGAAAAAAAAGTTATATCACAAAGGGCTGTATGATGATGATGATGTTAATGATGATGATGCTGCTAATGCTTAAAAAAAGACTTTCAAGGAATAAGTAATAGAACAGATGCTAATATTATAATTAATATTTAAAACTAATATTAGTAATAAAAATATCTATAATTGCCTTTTTAAATACTTAGGAATTAAACTATAGTTTTAGGGAATATGAAAATAGAAAAAATGAATCAGCCAAGTGGAGCAGCTGGTTAAGCGTTGGCTTAAGAATGCAAGCTCTGAGCAACAGGGCCACCAGTTCGATTCCCACATGGGCCAGTGACGCTGCGCCTGAGCTGAGCTGCCACTGAGCTGCCAACAGGTGGCAGGACGGCTCAGCTGGTGTAACAACAAGATTGCCTATTCAATGGTGGACTATGCCCACCCGCAACTAAGACTGAACACAACACCTAGAGCTTAGAGGCCACGAGCTGCCGATGGGAAGCCAGATGGCGACTGGCGCCCTCCACAACGAAGACTGAAGGGCAACAACTTGGCTGGTCCCCTTCCCCAACTCCCCAACACTGTAACCCTCCCCCAATTTCCCAATAAAAAATCGTAAAGAAAAAAAGAAAATAGAAAATAAACATGAATTATATTTCTATAAAATTTTTATTTGAGAAAAATGAAAAAAGAAAAACAAAAAACCTAACAATTGAGCAATAATCTAGAGGAATACAAAAAAGATGAAATATAAATTATTATTTTTTCTATAAATTTAATTGAAGAGAATACAATACAAAACTAAAATAAATTCATTTATGTATTAAAAGTAAAGAAAAGTATTTCTAAAAAATTTTGTTTGATTTTATCATATATATCTTAAGTAGGCAACTGACATTTTCCTTTTTACAATAATAATTTGGGGTAAAACTTAAAAATAAAGTTTAGGAAAACAAAAAATAGAATATTATCTATTGAAGTCTAAGTCTTTAGAATGTTAATAATACATTTAGCACATAGGTACCTAGTAATAATAGACAGTAAACAACCTCAAATATTATGGGGTATAAGTCATAAATTTTCAGTGGTAAATAAATATTCATCAATATAAATTTTTCTGTACCAGTTCCATGAAAGCAAGTGCCTGCAAATTAGCAGGTAATATTCAGTTTGTACAGCCAAAATGACCACCAATAGGGAACCAATATTTTAAAGCATGGCTAAATAGAGTAGAGAACTCAGAAGCAGACCTGTAACTTACAGCCAGTTGGTGTTTAACAAAGTGCCAAAGCAATCTAATGGGGGAGGGGAGGTGCAAGTCTCTTAAGTAAACAAAACTGGAAAACTGAATGTCCACATGAAAATATATACACTCTATCCCCTTCAATGCAGGGAAGGAAAACCAGGTGGAACTGGTGGTGTCTCTGAGCAGAGGTGAAAGAACTGGAAGTCCAGGGAGGCAAAAGTGGCTAGTGCTGGCATGGCAAAGTACTGAAGAGTAGAAAACGACACAAAGAGAGAATTCATGAGAACTATAAAGAGCCCCTTAGAGGCTTAAGCTGAACGTTGATCATCACATGGGTGAGGAAATTACTGTAGTCTAGAAAAAAGACCACCCAAAAGGAGTAGAGGGAGCAATACTTAGAGTTTGCACAGGGTCAGAACTAGTCCCTATTTCTACCAGCCAGAAAAGGAAGTCTTATATTTCACAAGGCATCAAGTAGATTACTCAGAAAGGTTTTGGAGTCAGTAAAGGGGGACAAATTAGCCATAGACTAAACATTGTCCTGGTTCCACCTAACAAAACTTAACAGAAAGATTTAAAAGGGTCAAGTTATTTTACAAGTGAACCATGTCTCAGAACAAAGATCAAGAATATTTATAGAAACACAAAATTATGCAGTGCCCATCAAAGTAAAATTCACTGGCCTCCAAACAAAAATTACCAAGCATGTATAAAAGTTGGAGAATTTAACTTATGATACAGAGCGGGGCGGGGGCGGGGGGGAGGGGAATGGACGGAACCAACTAAAATCAACTCCAAAATGATAGAGTTGATATAATTAGTAGATAGGGACATTTATAACTGTCATTACAACTGAATTTCATATGTTCAACAAGCTAGAGACAAGAGTAACAATGATAATCAGAGATAAGGAAAACATTAAAAAGATCCATACTGAACTTCTAGAAAGGAAGACAGAAAAAAGCTAAAAAGCTAAAAAGCTAAAAAAAAAAAAAAATATATATATATATATATATATATATACACACACACACACACACACACACACACACACACACACACACTAATACTTCGGAGAAGCTCAACAAAACCCAAGCAAAATAAACATGAAATAAATAACACAAACTTTCATCATAATCAAATTTACTAAAACCAAGGCTTAGGGGACAAATATAAAAAGCATCGAGAAGAAATAAGACAAATTACATACTGAGGAATAAAGAATAAGAATGATAGAAGACTCTCATCACAAGAAATGCAAACTACAAGACACTGGAATAACATCATTAAATACTAAAAGAAAAAATGTCAACTTACAAATCTATACCAAGAAAAAACATCTTTTTTGAAGAAAAGCAAAATAAACTTTCACAAGTAAAAAAAGGTGAAAGAATTCATCAATAGCAGGATTTCATTACAAGAAAAGTTAAAGGAAGACTTTCAGGCAGAAGACAAATGATATTAAATGGAAATCTGATTTATACAAAAGAATGAAGACCACCGGAAATAGTAACTACATGAGTAGATACAAAAGACTTTTTCTTATTATTTAAAACTCTTGAAAAGATAAATGATCATGATGTATTGTGGGGTTTATAACATAAGTTAAAAAAAATAACACAATGACTGGGAGGGAACAAATGTAAGTTTACTGTCATAAGATTTTTACACTATATGTGAAATATAAATCACATATAGAATGTAGTAAGTTAAAGATGTATGCTATAAACTCTAAAGCAAACACTAAAATAACAGAACAATAAGCTAGTTAAAAAACCTGTAACAGAGATAAAATGGAATCATAAAAATACTTAATCCAAGAGAAAGTAAAACAGGAGGACAAAAGGAACCACGAATAGATAGGACAAATTTGGAAACAAATAGCAAAATGGTATATTTAAACCAGACCATATTAACAATCGTATTAAATGTAAATGATCTAAACATACCAAGTTAAAGGTTGTAATAGATTTAAAAAGGAAATGCAACAATGCTACCCACAAGAAACCCACTGAAATATAAAGACAGAAATAGATTAACAGGGGAAAAAAATAAAAGGATAAAGATTTACCAGACTAATATTAAGCAAAAAAGTAGAAGTGATTATATCACTATCAAACAAAGTACAAACAACAAGTGTTGGTGAGGCTGTGGAGAAAGGGAACCCTTGTGCATCGTTGGTGGGATTGCAAATGAGTTCAGCCACTATGGAAACCAGTATGGAGGCTCCTCCAAAAACTACCTTAGTGCTCATAGAACTACCTTATGACCCAGCAATTCCACTCCTGGGTATCCAATGAAATCCAAAACACTAATTCAAAAAAATATATGCACCCCTATGTTTATTGCAGTGCTTCACAATAGCCAAGATATGGAAACAAGCGAAATGCCCATCAATAGACAACTGGATAAAGAAATTGTGGTACATTTATACAATGGAGTATTACTCTGCCATAAAAAAGAGTGAACTCTTACCATTTACAACAACATGGATGGACCTAGAGGGTATTATGTTAAGTGAAATAAGTCAGACTGAGAAAGACAAATACCATGTGATCTCACTTATATGTGGAATCTAAAGAACAGGATAAATGAGCAAACAAAAAGAAAGAGACTCATAGATACAGAGAAAAAACTGATGGTTGCTAGATGTGAGGGGAGTTGGGAGATGAGGAGAAGGTGAAGGAATTAAAAAGTACAAATTGTTAGTTACAAAATAGTCATGGGGATGTGAAATACAGTATGAGGAATACAATCAATAATGTTGTAAAGACTATGTAGGATGCCAGATGGGTGCCGGACTTATCAGGGGGATCACTTCATAGACTGTGTAAATGCCTGACCACGGCACTGTACACTTGAAGCTGAAGTAGAATAATATGGAATGTCAACTATAATTAAAAAAAAATATATATATATGTGTATATATATATATATATATGTATATACATATATATATATATGGTCATGGGATGTAAAGTATAGCATAGGGAAGATAGTTATTGGTATTATAACAGTTACACGTGTATATATCTGTGTGTCTGTGTGTGTGTGTCTGTGTGTGTGTGTATGCACAAATCAAACTTCTAGAGATGAAATTCCAATATCTGAGATGAAAAATACACTGGATGGGATGAATAGATTAGATTTGGCAATGCAGAAAAAAGTAAGTGAATTTGAAGCTAGAGCAATAAAAAAACACAGGAAAAAAAGAATCTGAAAAATTAAGAGTATCATGGAGCTATGGGACAACTTCGATCTACTTTGATCTACATCGACAATTTCGATGTACATGAAATTGCAGTCCCTGAAAGAGAGAAGGGGTGCAAGGCACAGAAAAAATATTTGAAGAAATATTAGCAAAAAAATTTCCAACTTGATGAAACCTGTAAAACCACAGATCCAAGATGCTCAACAAACCCCAAGGAAAAAAAACGTGAAGGAAACTACAATAAGGCACATCAAAAATTGCTGAAAACCAATGATAAAGACAACTCTTAAAAGCAGTCAGAGGAAAAAGGCATGTTATGAAGAGAGGAACAAAGGTAAGGGTCATATTTCTTGTCAGAAACAATGCAAGTAAGATGACAATGGAGCAACATCTTTAAAGCGCTGAAAAACAAAACTGCCAACCTAGAACTCGATACCTAGAGAAAATATCTTTTAAAAATAAGGTGAAATAGTTTTCATTATACAAAAGTTGAAAGAATCTATCACCTGTATTACAAGAAATGTTAAAAGTTTTCCTTTCATCAGAATAAAAATATTACATTACTTGGATATGTGAATCTAAAAAAAGAAATTAAGAACGCTAAAAAAAGAAATTAAGAACGCCAAAAACGGTAACTGCACAGATAATAAAAAAATATTTTTCTTGGTATTTAAATCTCTTTAAGGATAATTAGAATCCAATTTCTGGGAAGATGGGGTAAGCACTTATCAATCTGTGTCTCCCACTGAATACAGCTATAAAGACGATAACAAAATGCATGATGCAACTTTTTGAGACTTCTGAGAGGCAAACAGTAGCAGTCAGGTTAGAAAAGACGACAATAATTCAAAGTACCACCAAAGCGGTGTTAGTTACCATTTCCCCACCTCCCTAATACTCCCCAGTCAGGGTTCAACATACCAGACACCCAGAAGTGGGCACCTTATTTTAAAGACTCCCTTTGCATTCAGAGTAAGTTCATACTGTTCAGCAGAGCCAATGTACAGGGCTCTTCATGATCTGGTCCTGCTTACCTCTTCCAAGGCTTCCTGCTTGCCATTCTTTGTCTTAAATTCTGAATTTTAGTTATCCATGCTGAATTATATCCAGTTCCCTTAGCGTCACATGCTCTCTGACTTTTGGGTTCTAGCAATTCTCTGCCTAAAACACTCTGCTTTGCTTGGCTTTTGGTTAAGATAACTTCTTATACCTCAGCATATCACGTTTTCCAGAAATCATTTTCTTGGCTCTCCCAAGACTTATTTATGCCCTGATACATATATTTTTTTTTAATTTGGGAGTTGGGGGATTGGAACAAACCTGGGGAATTGGGGGAAGGGGAACAGACAAGCTGCTTATGGCAACCCACTGCAGCAGGGGCTGCAGCCTACGCCACCGCTGGCAACTCAAGGCAACCCAGCTCCAGGCTGAGCTGTTGTTCAGCATCTTAGCTGTGGAGGGCAGTATCACTGGCCCTCATATGTGGGATCTGAACCGGGGCCTTCTGGTGTCCCAAGCCAGCTCTTAACCAACACGCCACTCGACCGGCCCCCCGATACATATTTTTATAGTAGCTATGATTATTCCTAGCATATTACTTATCAACTATAATTAACCTGCCTCCCTTTCCACTACATCCTAAGCACCATAAAGGGGGAGACTATGTCTTAATCATTATTGTATCCTCACTGCTTAGGAGTAGGTGGCATATAATGGGACTCAATAAAGAATTGTTAAATAATTAAACAAATAAATGTTATGGAGTCTTCAGGCTTTTCTCCAATGCAAGAAAAAATTCTAAGAAAATACTCCATCAAAAAAATTACTTAAAACTATATTTAGTTAGTTGATGGTCAGACTCGCCCTTTTAGAATATAAGCAGTGCAAGAGCACATGTGTTTGTGTTTATTCATTGTTGTATCTCTAGTGTAGGCAAGTGCAAGAAGATAGCAGGTGCTCGGGAGTTGTTGCTGAATAAATGAATCATTGAGATCCTCTCAATACTCCTGCTAAATGCCTCAGGGACCTTTCTGAAGTTTTGTCAAAATTTACTATTCTGGTTCTCATCAAGTATTCCTGGTAAAAGATTAGAAAGGGTTAAGTAACACAATTTAAATATGTATCATTAATTCCCTCTCTCACACTCCACATTTTTGTATAAAAATTCTTGCTATTTTTAAGGCTGAATAGTTTTTTTCATTTTTCACCTATTATGTGAAATTCTTCTAATCTCTTTCAATCCCTCTAAGAGTTTTCCTTCAGAATACAAGTTTGCATGTGTGCTAGACCAACACAGAATAGGAACACTTTGATACGTACTGTCAGTTGCAAAGAAGGATGTGTCCAATGTCAAGTCATCCTGAGGAATCACAAGCTGACCTCCTGCCTCCCATTTCTTGCGATCAGATGAAACCGACTTTTCTTTCTCCTGTTCTTTGGTATCCTCATGAACAATTACCTCTCGCGTCTCAGAGTGGCACTGATTCCCTTTTTCATCTTCTTGAGCTTTAAGATTTTGATTTAATCTACGCAGTATTTCTCGTTTACTCTGAAACAGTTAAAATGCTATATTTTAATATGTATCCGATTAAGTAAAATGATTGAGAAAAAAATTGAAAATGGTACCTACTGAAACAGCATTGTTAGCCTTTTGCATTTCTTCTGAGGCTTCCTGGGTATCAGTTAAACACTCCTTTAAACATAAATATAGAGTAAGAAATGTTATTTTTAGTCTTCCTTAAAAGTTTTGATACTTTTGTAATTGTTTTCATTAAATTGCTCCTTGTGAGTTATTTTATTCCTGTAAATAACATGGCTTCTTTATCAGCAGTGAGAAACAGTTAAACATAATAAAGTAATAGCCTTAATATATAATAGAAGGGCCAATTCTCAATTATTAGTCATATTTTTGGATTGCTGATTGCATATTTCACTATATCCTTTTCCTTTTTGTCACCTAATTGTTTGGTAATTTTAAGTCAATTACAGAAATAAAAAGAAAACTAATTCATATACTCTCTTAATTAGAGGTAGGGAAAGTTTTGGTGAGTAAAGTAATTCAATATTGGCTGTGTTATTCTGAAGATGTCATTGCTTCATATACATATGTATTCTTACTCAGCCGTACTACTAAACATAACTGAGAATTGGCTTCTCGCCCTAAGCAAAGAGAGTAACAATGAGTTCTGAGTACTATGTACTAAAGCTAATATACATTTTGTCTTTTGATTAGTAAAATCATAGTAATCTTAGACCACCTAGAATTTTTAAATATATGAAAAGAAGAAATTAGTAGTTATGAAAGCTATGAAAGCAAAGGTATCTAGAGGACTCAGAGTATGGAAGAGCAATTTTCAAAGTTTTAAGTAAGTAATATTTATCAAGAAAACACATTAAAAAAAACTAGTTACACTCAATTTTGTACTATTTGAGAAAAACACAAAAGAGTGTAAGGGTCAGTTTTAAAGTAATACATGTAATGAGACAAAGAGCATTTTACCCAGTAAAGTAGTCAGGAATTAGCAGTCGCTACAACCAGAGAGATGAACAGCTACTTAAGATGTGAGACTGGGTACCAGGAAGGGAACCACACAGTGGTATCTGAAGTTGAAGTGAACAATGTAGCACATGCAAAGTTGTTATCAGAAAGAAAAAGAGACTAAACCTACTTGAAAACAATAGTTTCTTATATGAAGTTCTTGACAGTGACCAAGAAATCTCTATTTTCCTACTCAGTTTTATTTTCATGATAAATACAAAGGCTGTAAAAAAAGTTGGTGTAATAATAATATCACAGTTGTCTGCAAAAACTTAATGAAACTCAACAATTAAAAGGCACAGACATTAATTACCAGGAAAGGAGAAAAATCAATATTAATACATTATATGATTCATTATATGACATTTTCCCTTTTGTCTGTTGAATTCTAGGTTGAAATTCCACACCATGAGCCCATTTCTCTTAACCCTAAAACAGTGTCCACATTTTAGATGGATACCTGACACATACTTCGGAGTTTAAACTATCTACTTGCCCACATTTTTATGTTTTACTATCCATTTGGCATGATAGAGATTCAGAAATAGAAGGTAAAAGAAATAACTAATGAATTAAGTGTAATTATACTGAGTCCTCTAACATTTGTTATACCAAAAAATTTAAAATAAATGTAAACATGTCTTAAGATATCACTCCTAGAGGTAATTACTTTAAGTACCATGGTGACATTATTTCCTAAAAAGTGAACCTTTGTTAATTGTGAAAGATGGGGTACTTTTATCTACCAGGTCCTAGATATAAAACTTAAGATCACTGAGGCTCCAATACTCAGAGTAAACCACATGCAAAAATCTTAAGTTTTTTCCCTAGGCAAACTTAATGGGACATTAGAAATTAATGCAATTGCATTAAATTTAATCCTTTTAATAATCTTTTGACTTTGAGGATTTCTAAGTTTTGGGAAACTCACCATGCCCACTTCTCTCAAAGCTGAAGTCACAGAAATAACAGATCTCGTCTGTTGCTTTGATGGAGAGCCACCTGCTTCGTGCTGTCCCGAGGGAAACACATCAGCACTCTTCCCTCCTTTAGCAACCATCTGTAATAAAGAATTCAAACACACGCTGGGAAATGTATATTTGCAAGGAGAGGTAAAAGGTGTATATAAGATCATTGTTTATACACTCTGTCCACAAGTTTTTTTCATTCCTCAATTTTCATAACACAAGGCAACGTGCTAGGTGCTGAAAGGTCTGTGAATAAAGAGAAAATTCTGGCCTCAGAGGTAAACATAATTGTGTGTCATATAGTACTAAAGAACTCCTTTCCACTGCATTAACACTGTTTCATAAAATAATCTTAAAAAACAAACTGTCTTCCAAAAGATTAAATATTAGTCCTCTCACTTTAGTTTTAATACATGATGGTTGGTAAGAAGAAAAAAAAATTTTTATTTATGAATCTTATACTTCAAAAAATGCTTCTGCAATTTCTGCAAGTTTAGTACAATCTTCTTAAAGTCTGAACATCAATCACACAACATTAAGAGCCCTCATTATAAATATGTCAACATAAATGAGAATGGAAGAACTGCTATGTACAGTAATATTTACATAATTAAAAATACATTTATTATATTCATATATCTGCTTATTTTATCTTGCCATTTAGACTCTATAAACAATGTGAAATAAGATTCTAAAACTTCAATAAATATAAGGAAATGGCATTTACAAGTATGATCATAGTCATGTGGCAGCAAGTCTGCTCCATACTTCTAACTCTTCTTCAAACCAGATAAGAATTTCTGATGAGTATACTTTCAAATATTTACTGAGCATCTTCTAAGCATAATGTAGTAATATAATTCTAATATTTAGCTTCTGCGCTTTCATTTTACACCAATATGTGTTGTTCAAAACAAGGTGGAAAAATCTAACACAATATTGAAGGAGAAGAACAAAGTTCAAGGAATGACATGCAGTGACTTCAAGCCTTACTATAAAGCTACAGTGAGGGGGAAAAAAAAAGCTACAGCGTGGTATTAGTGAAAGAGTAGACAAGTAGACCAATGAAACAGAATAGAACCCAGAAACGGATCACATGAATAGAGTCAACTAATCTTTAACAAAGGAGCAAAGGCAATTCAATAGAGAAAATATAGTCCTTGCAGTAAGTGGTGCTGGAACTGGACAGCCACAAGCAAAAACTAAAAAATTGTACCAGACACAGACCCTACACACTTCACAAAAATTAACTCATAATCGATCACAGGGGATGTGGAGCAACAAGAACTCATTCACTTCTGATAGAAATGCAAAATGGTACAGAGGCTTTGTTAGACAGTTTGGCAGTTTCTTGTAACACTAAACATATTCTTACCACACGATCTAGCAATCCCACTCAAATGACTTGAGATCCGACATCCCCCAAAAAACCTGCACACAGATGTTTATAGCAGCTTTATTCGTAATTGCCAATATTTGGAAGCAACCAAGATGCCCTTCAGTAGGTAAATGGACAAAAAAAAAGTGGTATATACATGGGATATTATTCAGTACTAAAAAGAAATGAGCTATCATGTCATGCAAAGCCATGGAGAAAACTCAACTGCATATTACTCAGTAAAAGAAGTCAATCTGAAAATGCTACATACTGTATGATTTCAACCATGACATTCTGGAAAAGGCAAAACTATAAAGACAATAAAAAGATCAGTGGAGCCAGGCTGATGGGGGAGTGGAGTTGTAGGGAGGGATGAATAGGCAGAGCACAGAGGACTTTTAGGGTAGTGAAATACTCTGTATATTATAATGATGAATACATGTTATTAGACATTTGTTCAAAACCACAGAATGTAAAGCATCAAGTGTGAACTGTAATGTAAACTATGGACTCCGGGTGATGATGTGTCAGTGTAGGGTCATCATTTGTAACACATGTACCACTCTGGTGGGAATGCTGATAGTGGGGGAGGCTGTGCATGTGTGGGGTGAGGGTAGACAGGAAATCTCTACCTTTCACTCAATTTTGCTGTGAACCTAAAACCGCTCTAAAAAAAAAAAGTCTTTTAAAAAACAAAAAGAAGATGGAAATGCTGCTTTAATTCCATAGTTCAGCACTGTGAAAAAAGTATACTGATGCTTTATATTATAAATCACTTTATAAAATTCTAGAACTCACACAACCGAGTATTATCTCCTTGAAATATTTTAAAACTTTAGGATTGTCATATTATCACTGAGTATATTCAAAATAGGTACCATAAATTCTGAGGAAATAAAAACAAGCTCCAATTAGATCTGAACAAATAGCCACATTTTTTGAAGAAGTATGTTATTTCTCTAGATGATTATTTTGAAGGAAATAAATTAATTTGGAGGTACAAATTCTGCCATTATTATTTAAATCAGAAATCACTTCTCTACCACTTATATTTATTAATTGTATTATACTAATTCACTTAAAGATGATTTCTTCTATTTCAATAAATCTGACGTGATTTTTTGTGAGACAATATACAATATCTGATTAAAATCAATAAATCAATATATTATGGATATCCAACATATGGATATCCAAAATGAATGATGCATGTGAGGTGACTGATGTGTTAGCTAACCTTATTGTGGTTATCATTTCACAACACATACATATATCAAATCATTATGCTGTACATCTTATGCTTACACAATGTTATTTGGCAATTATATCTCAGTAAAGCTGGGGGGAAAAACCCAATATACTATAGACCAGAAGTAACAGCAATAGATAATCTCAAGCCAAAAAAATAAAAGAAAAACAAAACAAAACGAGTGACACAATGCTTTCTTTCAAAGGATTATCAAGGAGAAGATAAAGGGGAACACATAAATCAATCAGTATGTTACAGAGAAATAAAAGTAGAAGATGTGTGCTAAATGATCTGGGGAAAGACAAACAAAATAAAAACCAGAGAAAGAACAGGGTAAAAAGCCAGCATGGAAGATAGTGAGAGGAGCCTGCATAGAGTCGCCAGTTTGAATGGCCATTCATTGTTTAAGGTCATATAAAGTGGAAGTAGGACAGTTCTACACTCAAATTCCCAAACTCTCCTTTACTAGACCTGTGATTTTTCATTGTTTCTTAGCCTCTCTAAAGTTTAAACTTTTTCTCTCTAAAATGGGAATGCTGTACTCCTTGTCTCCTTGCTGAAGGGATTAAATGTGATAATTTACGTAAGGTATACAGCTGTGGTCCTAATAAATGGCAGCAATTATTATAGATCAGCAAAAATTTATTTAGTTTTTATCAAATAAGGTTAATTGGCTTAAATGCTAAAAATCTAATTTTAGTACCTATGAAATGAAGAAATTTGCACAAAGCAGAATAAAAACAAAAACCTCCCATCTCTGCATAATCAGAATTTAAAGTTTTTTGCACTGCAGAAAGTTTTATGACACAGAAGTCAATAAGCAGCAGAAACCTGAAAAATAGTTTAAATTTTTTCAAAGTAAGATTTACAAAATGATCAAGAGTAATTTAATTGTATGAATAATTAAAACAGGAGAGATAATATAACTTTAATGAAATTTCACTAAAGAATAGCACCAACTTCCCTTCTCAATCTATGATACAATTTGCATTTATGCTTATAAGGATTATCTCAAAAGTTATTTCCAAAATTATTTGGCAGATGCCTATGGAGGAACATTAAGGAGACTCTTTTTTTTTTTTAAATGGACTAATGCCTTTTTTTTTTAAGATTTTTATTGGGGAATTGCGGGGATCGGAACAGTGCTGGGGAATTGGGGGAAGGGGAACAGACAAGTCGCTGTCGTTTTGTTCTTCAGTCTAATTGTGGAGGACGTTGCTTCACTGGCCCAAGTTGGCACCATCATTGCACAGGCAGATCAGTCGCTGGCTTCTGGATGGCCACTCACTGCGGCTGCTGGCCATTCACGCTGGCTGCCGGCTACATACGGTAGCCCATGGCAACCCACTGCCACAGGGGCTGCAGCCTACGCCATCACCTGCGACTCACAGCAGCCCAGCTCCAGGTTGAGCTGTTGTTCAGCATCTTAGCTGTAGAGGGCAGTGTCACTAGCCCTCATATATGGGATCCGAACCAGCCCTCTGGCATCCCAAGCCAGTTCTTAACCATCGCGCCACTCGGCCGGCCCAAGGAGACTCTTGATAAAAGAAAAAGAGGCACCCATATAACCACTGCTCCAGCTAAGTATACTTCATTCATCTATACTCTTTTATAATGATTATCCACATACACACATAATTTTTACACAATTTAAACCAGGCACTGGCATATAACTCTTTGAAACTGTAGACATATGGCCTAATGGAAAATTTTAAAACTTTTAGGGAATATTTAGCAGATATGTCCTTGGTTAAAGAATGGTAAAAGTCACAAAAAGGGATTGAAAACCCTTTATCGTGACCTTATAGTCTTATGATGTACATTATGTTGAATAGAGATATTTCTATACTAATCTCAACCTTAAAAGAAACCTAAAGTAACAAAGGCAAAAATCTGTTTATTGAGTTAAACAGGGTATGAGACCAAAGATAATCAAATTCAGGACAATGCTGGGATTATGCTAAGATAGAGAAGCTCCCCATGCAATTCTCTTTACACTAGACATATTTGTACCTACAGAAACAAATCTTTTCTTATAATTAAAAGAAGTTACTTTAATGGAGAAAATGTTTCACACATTACAATTAAAAATTTACTCTGGCCATGAGCTGCCTGCGGGAAGCCAGATGGCAACTGGTGCCCTCCACAACGAAGACTGAAGAACAACTTGGTTGGTCCCCTTCTCCAATTCCCCAACACTGCTCCCTCCCCCAATTCCCTAATAAAATCTTTTAAAAACATTTACTCTGTATTATATCAAAATCTGTCTCGCTGATAAATATATGGCTAATGACCAGTATATAAGCTATGATCTAAGATATGTGATCCAATGTATAAGACAAAGTTACTGACACCTTTGCAATAATGACCTTCAGCAGCCTTCAGTAAATGTTTGTGGTCTATAATCAAACATATACCAGTTTCTCCCCTCGGTCAACTAAGCTTAACATATCAGAAGAAGCTGAAACAATGAACAAGCAAAGAAACTCAGACATTTGAAATCTAAAGTAAAGAACAAAGACCAGCAGAATATCCTACTTAATAACAAAACTAAGTCAGTTTTTTAAAATTTAAAGGTAATTTGGTAACTACTGAGGCACAGCAACATCATTAAAACCAACGTTATACATATCACTAACCTATTAATTAGTATAGCAGAACTTGGTCCTTCTGTGTAAACATCACGGATACATTACTTATAACCTGAATGTTAAGGCTATTATTCAATGTTAACCAGATCTTGAGATAGAAGATAACATATTTTTAAATTGTTATAAAAAAAAAATCAGACAGTCCTTAATTCAGAAAGTTGATCCAATATGACAACAAAAGAATTAAATAAACTATACTAAGAAAACAAAGTTTCATAGAAGACAAAAACTAAGCCTCAAAACAAACATTTTGTTACAAAATTGGTCACCCAGTTAAGCCTAGAATACGTATTTCATTCTAAGCACAATTTGTAAAAATTTGTAATTTAAAAAAAATAAATTTGCAACAAGAATAAAACATTGACCTGAAAGTTTCATAAGTCAAGTTAAAAAAAAATTGCTTTAGAGACTATTTTTTCTAGCTGTTTTCTCACCAGGTACATAAATTAAAAACTTTTCTACAAAAGGCCTTTAATTACCACTGCAAAACTGCTTCTATTTTACCTGTTAATTATACTATTTGCTAAAAATTAACCAGCAGTGCCACCAAACGACAAAGCTAAAAATTTCATCAAATAGTGAGGCCAGGTTTATAAACACATGAAACTATCAGTTGACCTACTTTTGAAGCATAGATAAACACAAATAGTATTCTATCTGTCAATATTGAATGATTAATGAAGATTTAATGTATGTTAGAAAAACATTATTAAATGGCCTGATTTCATAGTTTGAATACAGAGGAATTACACATGTAATTTCATATAGCTTAAAGATAAAGCCTGGCCAAATTTTACCAAATTCATATGTAAATTCTCAGAATTCTGTCTCTGAAGAGCCAAAAATATAAAAATATTGGTATGAATAACTTTTCTGAACTAATATTGCTATAATGTATTTTTTAAAATGTCTAGGAGAAGAATGTCCCAAGGTAGCCAGAAGGGGGTGGTATTTTCCACCCTGGAGGAAGCCTATAGACCTGTATGGAAGATTGGGGGTGGGGGGGGCAGAGAGGGGGGTGTTCAAAGAATAGGACAAAGATAGAAATAGGAATGAAATAACAAGAAACAGGTAAACACAATTAAATAGGAAATCATCATATTCAAAATACACTCTGACCTAACTAAGAATTTACCTAATTCTATTTTTCACTGAATTTTAGTTATTAAATGCATTGTTCACTCTTTTTGAAAACTGAGTACCTTTCTTAATATGCTACACTCACAATATGAGCATATATGTTGGCTGAGAAAGGCACACTATATTATTTGGGGGTGAAACCCTATCATCATACATGAAAATTATTTTCCACAGTCAAGTCCTATTTAGTAGTATAGCTTTTACCATTAAATATGTCAAAGAGAAAAAGTTATAAAATTGGGTATACGTGCCAAAGAATCAGAATAATTAAGGCAGTGATTTTTTTTTACCATTTGTTAAGTCAAAGATGCTTTTAAGGATCCAAAAAAAGATATGTGATCTTACTGAAGCAAAACGCAATAACATACATAAAAATCAAACTTTTAACTATCATTTCAGAAAGTTTAATAATGTTAACTTCAATTCTAAATACCATGTTAACCACCCCTGAGTTAAGAGTAATGGTCAGTAAGAAAATATTACATGTAGATTATGCTAGACTTTCTGTTGAAATAATTACTAGCTAAAATAACTTTAATCCATTTTCTGTAAATTGACCTGGATTTAAGTACTTGCATTATAAAGACTTTTTCAAGGTAATTTAGACACAGCAACATTAGAGATCAAACCTTTCATTTAGGAGTTGAGGAAATAAAGGCCTGCAAACATTAGAACAGTTCCCCAGACAGGCTACTTAATTGGCAGAGCTGAGACAAAAAAATCAGGTATTCAGATTCCTAGGCTCATTTCCCAGTTTTACTGAGAAATATTATAATTACATCACTGTATGAGTTCCAGGTGTACAGCATAAAGGCATGACTTACACATATTGTGAAATAATTACCACAATAAGTTTATGTAACATCCATCACCTTACAGAGAGATACAATAAAAAGAAAAAAAAAATTTTTCTCCTTGTAATATGAACTCTTAGGTATTCTTTAAACACTTTCATATATTATCACACTGCAGTGTTAGCTATAGCCATCATGTTGTACATTACATCCCTAGTACATACTTATCTTAAAACTTGGAGTTTGTACCATTTGATCACCCTCTTCCAATTCCTCCTCCCCCAACTCCCACCTCTGGTAACCACAAATCTGATCCCTTTTTCTATGAGTTTCTAGCCTCACTTATTTCCTCACTACTCAAATGTTTACTGAACACCTCTCTATGCATAACTCTGCAATATCATGAGCCACAGAATTCCCAATGAGTTTATTTATTTGTGTTACTATTTATCAGGTACCATGCTAAGCACTTTGCATAGTAAATTATTAATAGTTAAAGTTCTTTGGTGGAAAGCAATAGAAACTAGCTCTGAAGGGAGGGAGGAGAGAGAAGGAAGGGACAGGGGAAAAGAGCAGTAAGCAGGATCGCAAAAACAAAAGGAAGCCCTCCAGATAATCTGGGCAGCTTTATGGATCTAGGTAGCAGAAACTAATTCCTGGTTTTCATGAGGTTCTCTTACTGGTGCTGCATTAAATAAACTCCAAATCTTGTGATATTCTGCTCATGCTTCAAGCCCTGGGAGAGAATTCAACTGGTCTCCTTTAGGTGACCTGCCTACTCCTCAGCTAGAAGCCAAGACATCTTGTTTGACAGTTTTACCAAAAGTGCATACAATAAAAGAATTCCCCCAAGTGAAAATGGGTTGCTTGCCTGCTGTGTACCTCAAGAGCCAGGCTCACTATCACAGTTCAATGCTGCCACCATAAGAATATTTCTGAAGGATTGTGAGGAAATATGAAGTTGTACCATACTAGCAACTAGTATTATCTATCAATATCAATATCAATGTATATATATCATTAAAAGGGAGAAAATACATACAAAGAAAACTTTTACACAGGTTTTACATAGCTTTGAAGGCAGACTTTTGGGTTTTTTGGGGGTTTTTTTTAAGATTTTCATTAGGGAATTGGGGGAAGGGGAACAGACAAGTTGCTATCTTTTTTGTTCTTCAGTCTAGTTGTGGAGGATGTTGCTTCACTGGCCCAAGCTGGCACCATCATTGCGCTCTTCCCAGGGGAGGCAGATCAGTCGCCAGTTTCTGGATGGCCGCTCACGCCTTGAGGGCCACTCACGCTGGCTGCTGGCTACACACGGTAGCCCATGGCAACCCATTGTAGCAGGGGCTGCAGCCTACGCCCTCGCTGGCTGGCGACTCACAGCAGCCCAGTTTCAGGTCGAGCTGTTCTTCAGCATCTTAGCTGTAGAGGGCAGTGTCACTGGCCCTCATATGTGGGATCCGAACCGGGGCCCTCTGGCATCCCAAGCCAGTTCTTAACCAACGCGTCACTCGGCCGGCCCTGAAGGCAGACTTTTAAGAGAGTTTTTCTTAGACTGTACTATAAGTATACGGATGCTCCTGAAAGTATGTTTGGTGGGCATGATGAGACTAGTGCAGCCTCTGGTGATAGAGAGGCCTTGGCTCCAATCAATCATCTGAGGAAACAGAACTATGCTACTATGCAGGTGTACAAGCACCCAGTAATAGAAGTATTAAATAATAAAAATGTAAAGCACCTGCTCAGAGCTGAATCATTGTTGGACATAATTTGTAAAATGCACTCACTGAAATATAAAACCTAACAGTGCTTCTGCAGGTGCTTCCCCCTCTTCTCCCTCCCCCTCCTCCAGCGCCTGTGAAACTTCTGCTCCTAAACCTTAGGCAAAGTTAACTTCATTTCCCTAATACTTAGTGAAGTTCAGTATTTTTTTCATCTATGTGTTGGCCATTTGTATGTCTTCTTGGGAGAAGTTTCTGTTTACGTCCTCTGTCCATTTTTTAGCTGGATTGTTTGTCTTTTTGTTGTTGAATTGTATGCATTCCTTATATCTTTTGTATATTAGCCCCTTATTAGAGGCGTTGTTTGCAATTATCTTCTCCCCTTCGGTTGGTTTCTTCTTCGTTTTGTTGATGGTTTCTTTTGCTGTGCAGAAGCTTTTCAGTTCGATATAGTCCAAAATTTAATATATCTTAAAGGTAGCATTATACATCAGTTGGGGAGGGAAGGTGTAGCCATTAAATGATGCTGGGACTTTGATTAGCTACTTGGCAATAAAAAAATTTTAAATAAATTAGGGTCTCACCTCAAATTAAAGCCCCAAGTAACTCCCATATAGTTTATCCTTAAATATGAAAGAGAGATAGAGCAACAGAAAGGAGAGCAGAGGAGAGAAAGGGAGAGGGAAAACAAATGAGAATTAAAAAATAGAAAAAAACGGAATGACAAAATCATAATGCTAATGTACCATCCAGTAAGAGATACAAGAATATTAACATGGCTAGGAGTAAGAATGTGAGCTAAATCTTACATGCTCTTCCCATACTTTCTTTTCTCTCTCATATGCTTCCTTTCTCTTTCGTTCCAATTGTTCTTTTATTATAGCAGCTCGTGTTCTTGCTTGGGCCTGAAAATAAAAACAATCAACAAAATTAGGTACCAGAAAGAAGGGCGTAAATTTGTTGGTTTTTGTTTGTTTGTCTGTTTTCTGTTTTTGTTTTGTTTTCCAGGTCTATAAAGATATTTACTTACTAGCCGAAAACAGAAGTGTGTGTGCGCATGCATGCGTGTGGTGGTTCAGAAAAAAAATGTAAGCTCACTCTCTATCCCCAGCACCTAAACCAAGGCTCAACACACAGCAGCTGAGCCATCAATGTTTGTTGAATGAAAATAAATGCAGGTATTAACTTAAGTACAATGGAAGCACAAGTGCAATGGAAGTACAAGTGTAAAAATTTTAAACTATGATTATTATACACAAACTTTAGCTATCTTCTCAGAAATGAACAATTATAGTTTTCATTTTTAAGGTTATCATTTTTTTTTCTTTTTAAGGTTACCCATATGATAGTTTCATATATTTATTCCATGGTTTCATCAAACTGCTCTCCATAAATGTGATATAAAGAGACAAAAGTGCTATTTTACAGAAACTAAAAAGTGAGGGATAAAGGAGACAGTAAAATTGAGGCAAGAGAGTAAGGTGATTTAACTATAAAAGATTTAAGGACACAATTCTCTATCTCAAGTTTCCATTTTCTCTAAGAAAACCATTTCTAGTCTATACCTTAAGCGCTTCAACTTTTTTACGCTTCTTATCAGCCTCCTCGCTTCCTTCTTGTCCTTCAGAGTTGTCTGCTTCTTTCTGCAAAATAAGTGGATAAGCAAATCACTTAGGATACAACCTCTAATTCAGTGCAGAGCTCTGTGGAAAAGAATATGAATAAACTAAAATCTAAATATGTAAAACAGTAAATTGTTCAATATTATTAATTCTCTCACAACTATCTGTGAACTCTTCACACCTATCAATCTTATGGACAACAGGAAAAAAGATAAAAAGAGAATGACAAAAAAAAAAAAAAAGAGAGAATGACAGAAAATGTACCATTTTATATGTCCATGGTTACTACTTATATTTTCCTCTTAGAATTCTTCTGGAACAAAAGATCTTATCAATTTTAAATCATACAAATAAAGTTTAGTTTATCTCTATGTATAGTTTTCTGGTCTTTGACTTTCACTGTCTTCATCAGATTTTATTTTGTGTTAGTGGTACAGTATTTTTAATCTTAATCTATTATAATGTCATTTAATGACTTTTTTTTAAAAAATTGATTTTCAACCTGCCTTTTCACCACGAAGTTTGGCTCTAATCTGTTGGCGCTCATTAAAATTCTGCAACCTTATCTGTCTCAGCCTTGCAAGATAAACCTACAAAGAAAAAAAACCACATTTTAATTTAAAAGAAAAACTACCAACATTTTTACTGTACTGTTTTTTTAATTAAAGAAAAGTGTTAATCTGAATATAAGAAATAAAAGTTTTGAAATCTGGTTAATATTAGCTTTCAAGTTTTTAATTTAGATCAACTTATTTCTGAAAAGAAATACATTATAATTACAAATGTTTAATTTTATCAAAAGAAAAGAAATTGAACTCAGAATACTGAATAACAGTTATGGGGCAAAATTATGACACAGCACATCAGTCAAAATATATTAACAGGTCCCTACAGAACTACAAAATCCTCAAATAATAGTTAAGAATTTAAACCATGCAAGAAAGGAAAGCAATCAACTCAAAAATGGCTATGTGACGGAGGTGGCGAACATGCGGGAAGCATACCTCTTCCTCTTTGTTTCTTGGCTTCCCTCCTCTTGAAGAGCTGGACCTGCCTCCATACATAGCTGCCAGGTTTTGCAGGATTCCCTGTTCATCATTTAATGTACTAAGTTTAAAGAATGACTAAGGCTGCATCAGCATCTTACCTAGGAATATCCAGGTGCCACTTTATTTCTTTTGGCTCATACTGATCATTTCTAGTTGATAAACTGATAACAAACCCTGGCATTTTCTTGAATCAATTTAACTAACAGATTCATTGACAACAGAAGGAAGCAATTAAACCCCAAATATAATTATTCAAAACAGACCACCTATGCTTTTATTAGACCATACTAGTAAACAGGTTTTCAAAACTGCTTTGGAGTTAGCTCAACCCCAAATCAAAATTTTCCTCTACAAAGGGCCAATCTTTTCTATATATGCTTACATACAAAATACACAAACACAATACAAAACATTTGAACTTTTTATTCGGGTACATCCTGTTACTATACTGCAAATGATCATACCCAATCACAAACTGATTCATTTTTTAACACAGTTTAATATAAAGATGATAATTATCTTAGAGATTATATCCTTCACTAAAAGTATCAAATTGTAGAATTATCCATTTTTTCTTCCTTCAGCATACAACTATAGTTCATGTTCTTCCCAATTAAAAAACATCTTCAGCCCCACCTCCCTGTCTAATGTCTTTATCAACTTGTTAAAAACGTACTTTTTATGTTCATCAACTCTATTTTTCTGTTTGCCATTTATTTTTTTTTAACCCACTACAATCTGATTTCTGATCCCACTAGGACTCTCAAAATTTTCTAAGGTTACCAATGACCTCTAATTCATAATTCAAATGAACCCTTTTGAGCAAATTTTGCAATTAATATTTCCACTGGAAATTTATTCACTTAATTTACATAAGTATTTTTTCTCTCATAAAAATCATGTATATTCACTGTGGAAAATTTATAAAATGAAAATATAAGTCATTCACAATTCTACCATCTGAGAAACAAAATTTAAGACTATCACCTTCCAAATTTCCTTCTATGCGTATGTATGAATACATGTTTATTTTTATAAAATTGGAATTTTATTCTCATTTTTTCACTTAATATTAATTACTATTAATATTCTCTCTTTTCACATCCAGTATCTTAAAAACATTATTCTTAACTGACTACATAATATTCACAATATTCTACTAAACAGTGAATTATAATTCACATATTAAAAAAAAAAAACCTCTCTTCTCTTTCAGTACTTAAAACAGGACTCTGTCCTCGGACCTTCCAATCTTCACTATTTTTCACAGGCTTTTCTCTTCCTTTGCCATTGCTAATGTCAGTACTTTCTAGAGATTCATTCTCTGGCCCTTCTTCTTTTCTCATTCCCAGGCTTTAACATATGCTTCCAATTTCCAAATCTAAACCAACCTTGCAGCCCTTTTTTCTTGAACTTCTCTGTTTATGCAACTGACATCTGGACAACTCCACTCTTATGTAGCAAAGCTTCCTCAATTTGTAACCCTGACTTCATCATTCTTTTTACTACATGATCTTATTTCTACCTCAGTTATTGATCACAATCGGTGGCCCAAGTCAGCAAGCTGGGAGTTATCTTTGCTTTTCTCTCTCAGCTGCCAAATTGCTAATTCTACCTCCTAATACCTCTACAAGTTATCCCTTTAGTTTCTGCCTTAGTTCAGGCTCTTTCAATTTTTGGGTTCCCAAAAGAGCTTCCTAACTTATCATCTTAGCTCTGGTCTCACATCCCCCAGTCTATTCTCTAAAATGCAGTCAGAATAATCTTTTCAACATTCTCCTTCACATCTAGCCCTACATAAATCCTTCAATGGTTCCAACTGTCTTCAGAATATAATCCACATTCTGTTGAATGGCACATAAGGCATCTCTAGTCTCATTTCTGACACTGTTTATTCATCAAGTCTACATTCCAGCCATGACAACTATTTGTGGTTTGTGGACTATGCCATGACCTTAACTCATTTTAAAATGGCTAACTCTACTCATCTTCCAAAATGCAAATCAAATCTCTTACCCGTGGAAAACCTCGTCTACGCCTCCTCTAGTGAGTTGTGACCTACCATGCCATTTTTTATATACACGTCCTGCAGTAGCACTCATCAGAAGGGCAGTACTCCAGTCTTTCAGTTCACATATTTGTCAATGCCACCTAACCACTGCTGCCCTTCAGTAAAATTACTTAAACTTGCTCTTAGGTCTGGGCATAATAATGCCACCTACTACATGGATGTACTACAACAAAAAGTGTTATATGAGCACGCTCTGTCTTATGCTTCTTCCAGCCTGACCAAAGGCTTCGGTCCACTCTATTTTTACCCTCTTCAAGGAAATCTTGGCATTAGCTTATCAGTTATTTGAGCTTTTGAGATATAGGTCAGAGTGGTAGAGGTGAAGGAAAACAAGAAATAGGCAGAGCCTGGCAAAGACATGAGGTGAACTCTGAAAAGGTGTATGGGAATATCTACAGAGTTACAGGAGGGTAGGTGGCAAACTGAGTATTGCTATAGATTATATCTTCCCTTCATGGTATTTGAGAAATATAAGTAAAAAAACAAACAAACAAACAAAAAACCTGAGTTACTTTGAAGTAATCTTTTTAACATTTTAGTTTGAAATATTATAGATTAACAGAAGGGTGAAAAGTAATGTACAGGGAGTTCTGTGCACCTTTCATCCAGCCTCTCCCAATTTCATCATCTTACATAACTACAGTACACTATCAAAACCAGGAAACTGGCACTGATACAATCCATAGAGATTCATTTCACCAGTTATATATGCACACATTTATGTATCTGTATTAATGAAATTTATCACACATAGTTTTATGTAACCACCACCACAATTGAAATACTTAACTATACCACTATATAACATTTCATAGCCATAGTCACTACTCCCATCCCTAACTACGGGCAACTATTAATCTGTTGTCCATCTCTGTATTTCACAAAATTTTATATACATGGAATCATATAGTATGTATCCTTTTGAGAGTGACTGTTTTTACTCAGTATTATGTCCTTGCAGTCTATCCAAGGTACTGGATGCATGAATCAATGGTCCATTCCATTTTACTGCTGAATATTATACCGTAGTATGATATAGATTAATTTGTTCATTCATTCATTCATTCATTCATTCATTCATTCATCCACTTTGGTACATCTGGATTTCAAGCTTTTGGCTATTAAGAGTAAAGTTGCTAAGAACATTCACATGAAAGTTTCTAAGTGAATATGAATTTTCTTTTCTGTAGGACACATGCCCCAAGAGTGGAATTACCTCCTCTTGGTAAAGTAAATATTTTTAGTTTTAAAAGAGACTGCCAAACTATTTTGGAGAATAGCTGTATCATTTTATATTTCTAACAGCAATGTATAGGTGATCCAGTTTCTTCACATCCTCGCCAGCACTTGGCTTTATTATCACTGTTTTTATTTTAGCCATTCTGATGGGTGTGTAGTAATAAATTATTGTGGTATAAATTTCCATTTTCCAAATGACTCATGATGTTGAACATCTTTTCATGTGTTTATTTGCCGTCTGTATATTCTCTTTAATAAAATGTTTACCATGTTTTTTGCTCATTTTCTAATTGAATTCTTTGTGTTTTTGAGTTTGGGTGATTTTTTATATATATATATATATATATATATATATATATATATATATATATATATATATATATATATTCTAGATACATGTCCTTTGCTGAATATAGGGTTTACAAATATTTTCTCCCAATCTGTAATTTGTATTTTCCTCCTCTTAACACGGTCTTCTGCAAAGCAAAAGGTTTTAATTCCGATAAAGTTCAGTCTATCACGTTTTCCTTTTAGGGATTGTGATTTTCATGTCAAGTCTAAGAACTCTGTCTAGTTCTAGGTCCTGAAATTTTCTTCTTTTTCTAGAAGTTTCTATACTGGACTTATTGTTAGTGTTCTATCTCCTGGGTGTATTATTTTGCTTTGCAATTTATACATATATTATGTATGTTCTTTCTATGTACCAAACATTATATTTTAAATGGATAGTAAGGGAATTTTTTTTTAAGTGCATTTTATTTTATTTTTTTTTAAGATTTTATTGGGGAATCAGGGGAAGGGGAACAGACAAATTGCTGTTGTTTTGTTCCTCAGTCTAGTTGTGGAGGACGTTGCCTCACTGGCCCAAGCTGGCACCATCACTGCACTCTGCCTGGGCGAGGCAGATCAGTCGCCGGCTTCTGGACGGCCGCTCACGGCGGCTGCTGGCCACTCACGCTGGCTGCCGGCTACACACGGTAGCTTATGGCAACCCACTGCAGCAGGGGACTGCAGCCCACACCGTTGCCGGAGACTCATGGCAGCCCAGCTCCAGGTTGAGCTGTTGGTCAGCATCTTAGCTGTAGAGGGCAGTGTCACTGGCCCTCATATGTGGGATCCGAACCGGGGCCCTCTGGCATCCCAAGCCAGTTCTTAAGCAACGCACCACTCGGCCGGCCCTAGTAAGGAAATTTTCAAAGAATTGAAAAAAAAATAATCTTTTCAAAATAAACAATTTAGTGTTGAATAACTAATTTACTATTAGGAGACTGTCTAATCAAAGTCAGTAAACTATAATCTTCAGGTCAAATCTAGTCTGCTGCCTGATTTTGTAAATCAAGTTTTATTAAAACATTGCCATGCCCTCTTTGTTTAGGCTTTCTTTACCATAGCAGAGTTGAGTGGCTATTTATGTTAGAACACCATATGGGCTGCAAAGACAAAAATATTTACTATCCGCCCTTCTACAGAAAAGGCTTGCCTATCCCTGCTTTACAAAATAATCATGTCTACAAGTTTTACCTAAATTAAAGCAAATAGGGGATTTAAAAAGGAATAAATCACATAGTATTTTATAGTTGAAAGCAGAATCTCAAATGTCAGACACACTAGGCATGGCTTGCATCCTGCCTCTGCACACAGTGTGATCTTTGGTAATGTGCTTATGACTCTGAGCTAGTTTCAAACCTGTAACTTTGGAATAACTATCCCCACTCCAGACAATTATTGT